TGGTAGTAGGACAAGGTGGAATGGTTTTAAACTAAGGCAGGAGACACTTAGATTAGATATTAGGAAGAAATTTTTCACACAGTGGGTGGTGACACACTGGATCAGGTTGTCCAAGGGAGTTGTGGATGCCCCATCCCTGGAGGCATTCAAGGCCAGGCTGGATGTGGTTCTGGCAGCCTGGTCTGCTGGTTGGCGACCCTGCACATTGCAGGGGGTTGAAATTAGATGGACATTTGAGTCCTAAATCCAGGCCATTCTGTGATTCTATGAAAAGTTAGAGCTACTTTGATCACAGGCAAGGTTAGAAAAATCTTTCAAGAATTATTTATCTTCCATACAAAATCCAAGACAATGGCACTGCTAGTGATTTACAAACAAGTCTTGGTAATAATCCTGAGTACCTTTGCTCTTATGGGTGTTAAATTAGACCACAAGTAATACTGGAACATAACTTGGTGGTCTAATTATTTAATTATGTCACTTTAACAGTGATACACTTTTATTATTTATAGAAGAGGTCATAAAACTGTTTTCAGATGTTTAACTTTCAATTATTCTAATTCTAGCAGTAAATAATATAGCAAAATAGCTTTCAGAGATCTTCTCTGAGTGTATTTTTTATGCTTACAATGTTCCTTGAGTAAGGCTTTAGTAATTTGTTTTCAGGCTGAACATCCTCTACCATATGAACATCTCTTAAATCACAAACTGGAGTAAAACTCTGTTGAAAATTAAATAAATGGAGAATTGGTAGTTCCTAATTAACCAGTAAGAAAAGTTTATGAGAGAGAGATTGAATAAATATCAAAGCTTCTGAGTTATATTATCTTTTGTAAATTGGCTTTTCTCCAATTAGTGTATGCTTTCAGAAGCTGGAGAAGAAGATGAAAGGATCTGCTTTTGATAAAATACACAACTATGGCAGTGCTTGAATAATTTTATGGGAACTTGCTGCCTAAGGCATATGTTTTACTGTCTGATAGTAAATGCATAAGGAAAGACCATCTGTTTTTTTCAGCTTGAACAAATATATGATCCAGATTGAACCTCTAGAGGCTGAATATAATCACTTTGTGTTTTATTTTGCACTGCTCCATACCTACAGCAGCATTCTCTTGTATTGCACGTACCAAGGCACACAGTTCAAATGTTGTCATTCAAAAATTATTTTTCTTCAGTTAAAGCGATGTGGGATGCCTATGCAGGGCTTAATACAAACCTCTGCCCTTCATTCATCTCTGGAAAAACAGTTTCTGATACACTTTGACCACCAGGCCTTCAGACCTTCAGGTTTTGTTTTTACTGGACAGATCCTTGTTGAGGTCTTGCCAGGTAAAAAGTATTGCTGTGTTCTCCATGTCTTCAGCTCTTGCTATGGAAAATTGAGAAGCTTTCCTTCCGTGGGTTGAATAAACAGACTAAATTAGAAAGCTTGAAAGTGGTTTCCAACTGTTGCTTTACTTTGAAGGAAGGAAAGCAGATCAGCAGTAAATATACTACAGAAAATATTCCAGAACACTTGATTTTTTCCTCTTTTTGCTAGTGTTGTGTTTTACAGCACCTGAAAGACTACTTTTAGTTTGGCAAAACTAACAGGACTGGGTTTCTCTACTCCCCCCAAAGTGCTTACAGTCTCATTATAGACATAAAATGCTGAATTGATGGGAAAAAAGGAAAAAAGTGTTCAGCGTTGAAGGAAGGAATGAAGGATAAAGGGGCAAGATTTGACTGAGATTTGAGTGGATAAAGGCAGACATTTTTCTTTTGTTCTTTAATATTAATAACAGTGGATCATTTCTTGTAGAGCTTCTGAGGAAAAAAAATGATTATAAAAGGTTATGAGGAAAAATATCTTTCCAAGACCATTCTTACATATTACTCAGGGGATTGTTTCTGCTTTTCGTGGATAATCGGCAGACCTGCATCTACCAGGTGCTAATCTAAACTGTGCACCTGTCTTTCCTGAGTATTTAGTTTTGTTTTGATTAGTACACTGCTTAACTGTTCTGTTTCCCTCTCTTGACTCGCTTTTCTGCCGTGTCATGAATAGTTTACATTTTGCCGACACTGATCTTCTAAACCACAGTGCTGAGGAACTGTGGCAGTTCATCACACGTGCTGGGTTTGTGGAGCATGGTTTTGTGACTGCAGGACTGCACTGGGACTTAAAAGGTTCAGGTCCACCCCACAGTTCTACTAAGGAATTCTGCACAGCCTCAAGAGAGTCCCCTTACCTTTTCCGTGCTGTGGTCTCCAGCTGTGATATGGAAACAACAAAGTTTCTTCTTTTCCTACAGCGTCTGTTTTCCATAATTTTGCTACATGAGATTTCTTCCAAGAGAAAACTTGTATTATGTACTTGGACAAGACCCAGTGCAACGGGGCCTCAGATTTAGTTCATATTACTGGAATACAGCTAAATAAGAGCAATTTTTAATACATAAGAGCAAAGAATACATGAAAATAAAATTTTAACTGATTCAGAACTGAAGAAAGTCAGTGAAAGGAAATGACAGTATTTTACTGTAAATTCTTAGTCACTTCTTAATTTTATTTTGCCCTCCATGCAGGCTTTAACTAGGAGAAACCGCATTTATGACTGTGCCAGTAGGATGTAATTATAGGGTGCTTGTATGTGAAGACTGCAGTAGCTAAAACTACCAGCAGTGTTCAGGGAGATTTTCCTTTAAAAAAAAAGTGGGGGAAAGGGAAGCAAAGTTGCTCAGGAGTTGAATTTTTACCACTTGGACCAGTCTTTTATGAAATCTTTAAGCAAAATCTGCTGATCTCTTTATTTAGACTGGAAGATAGATTTGTCAATGGTATGTGACCATTATTACCCTCCTGCATATCTTGATACCGGTGTTTTATTTACAGCTTTTGATAGAGCTTATCCATAAGATCCTATCAGGTTTGATTTTCAGAGTCAAACTTCATCCCAGCAGTTATGTGATGTGCTGCTAGATATGCCACCAATGTATTATTGCACTGCACATCAGATTTTCTAATAGAAATTCCAAAGAAAAATACTTAACCATATTGTCTGTTGTACTGGATGTATTACAGCACTCCTGCCATATTGGAAGGTCAGTCTGTTATAAGGGGAAGAACAATTTTAGCTCCTGAAGAATATGTGGGCAGAAGCAATAATAATGATATTTGTAGCCAGTAATTTGAATGAAAGAATAATTTAGGTTTGAATGGGCCTTTCAGGCAATATGGTCCATGCTCCTTCTCACAGCAGGTAATTTCCAAGTCAGAGAAAGGCTTTTTCCAACTCCATTCTGAAAATCTCCAGGGGCACAAATTGCTGAGCAACTTTTTCAATGCTGCACCTTCTCACTGTGATTTTTTTTTCCTTATAACTAATCACAGTTTTTCTTCATGCAAATGGTGTTCTCTCTGCATTCCCTGTAACCAGAAATAAATAGTTGAGGCTGAGAACTGCTGTTGTCCCCTCCTTCTTCAGGTTGAGCAAACCCAGCTCCACTCAGCCTGTGTGTCTCCTGTGTGTCTTGTCTTGATGTGTGCCATCATGCTGCTTAGTGAGCTTGGCACTAGAAACACCCCACATGCCCCAGTGCTTTTTTGAAAGCTGCTGTGTCTTCGGAATGATTATGTGGATCAATGGAAACTCATCCCATTGAAGAGTATATGCCCCATCTGTATCAATCAGTAATTTTTGTGCTTTGTCCCTCAAAGAGATTTCATCCCTTTTGTATCAGTAAGGAGCCATTCTCTCTTTCTTGCAGGTATCTACCTGCATTAATATTGGGTTAGAGTAAGAGTCTAGCAAGAATCCCAGCAATTCAGATGGAAGTCAAAGGCCTGCTATTTTTGATTGATTGATTACTGAGCACAACTGACAACTAGCAGTTATCAGACTCTACAAAACTTGTAGTTACTTGCAGTTACTTGCAAAAAAACAGTACAAGTGCTAGAACTTGCAATGTACAATATATACCACTGCGCACAACAGATGATGAATCAGTGAATGTGCTGCTTAGTCAGTCCATGGTAATGGGGGTGAAGTGAAATTCTCTTCTGATCCATTCCATAGACAACATTTTTTCACCACCACAGTGGCATTATTTGCAAAGCAGCCCTATAGGAAAAAGTATTATCACCCACGGTATATGCCTCAGGGTAATACCAGTTCTTCATGTATGCTGTATGTATGCTCTCTGCTGTGTGGAACAGGCATGGGATTCAGAAGAAATTGTGCAGTGATACTGAGTATTTGCACTTTCCTTGCCTAGGGATTTGGCAGTATGTTGGTACTTTGTTTCATCTGCATATGTTTGCCAGTACCATGAAACGTGCAAGCTCATGTAAGCTGAAAATTGCAGTCATGTTTTCTCGGTTGTGACTGCATGACTTGTGTAAGACCCTCTTGATTCACTCCTACATTTTAACTCCTTCCACTGATACTGAGTTTGTTCCTAGAATGGAGCCTAGTCCTTTAGGGCAGTGGTACCACAGCCCAGCTGCCTTTGAGCTTTTGCTTATTAAGATTTCTTGCTCAGAAGGAAGTTGATTAATATGGGAAAAGTCATAACAGTTAGATGCAATATGTACATTAGGGCTCTGATAACCTCATACAGCCCACATCTGTGGTCTACAGTGGGAGAAATGATCTTTTGGACTGGGTAAAGGTCTCTCCTGTTGGCAATTTCTCTTTTGAGCCACTAAGAGTGGCTGTACTGGATAAATTTACGGGACTGACATGTCAAAAGTAGCATCTGTGTATGTTGGGCCATCTCACCAAGATCTTCATACATATGGGGTTTTTTTCCATTAATTCATCAGGGCTGCAAAGAGGTCTGTAGAATTATGAGGAGGCTATTTGAACGTCTTTAGTTGACCAAGTAATAATTGAATTCGTTTCTGTTAATGAGAACTGTTAATTCATTGTCTTCTATTAATGTTGGTGGAAAAGAATATAGATATTGGATCAGGATTCTGAAAAATATTAATTGCTAATATTCTTTCTTTTTCAGTTTTCTGCTTGTGTTTGGTTGCTTGATTTTGTCCGTGTTTTCCACTATTCCTGAACACACAAAACTTGCCTCTGGCTGTCTCTTCATTTTGGTAAGTGAAACTTCTAAATACAAGACATCTTTACAAATACGATTATATACGCTCACATTCTCTCCTTCACCGTGGAATTCCTGAATGCTTTAAGAAACCATACTTTTCATCCGAATTATGACATACTAATATAGAAGATTCCACCATCTTTTTCTTTAAAAACCAAGTCAGAGTGGTTTACAGAGTATGTAAGTGTTGTATTACATTTCTTTACTTGAGAACTGCTGTGTTTTATTACCGATACTTTATCTACTGCAGTTTGGTATTGACTGAAAAGGAACAACCTTTCATACTTCATAAGGTCTGTACTTATTAAAAGCCACTTAAAATAGGAAATTGTTTTATCTTAGATACCAATTTCCGGTAGCTGTTGGTAGATACTGATATTTTAGTGGCAGTTACAACAGTAGGATGTGGTACCTTCATTATTTTTTCGTATTACATGATTTTGCATTCTGATTCTCTCTTTTTCCCTGAGCTACATATAAATGGCTTGAATCCCTAAAACCGCTTAGCATTTTTCGTGTATTGTATAGATGCTTTATTAATCTGCTTCTTGATGGGCTGTTTAGTTTTGCAAGTGATGGCCTGAGGATAAGTGATAGTGCTCATTAAAATATCATTGTATTCCTGGAGTTACTATGGTTATTTCAGTTCCATGCATGCAAAAGGTTGTGGCTTGTTAGTTAATGCCTGAGGTGAAGTAACTGTTGACAAATGCCAGCATATCAATTGTCATCACTGTATGTATCTGAAAGCACTGGTCTTTAGAATAGCTTCCCAATTAATTATAACATAAGCAGTCTGATAAACATAATTGCAGTGTGTGCTATGCCTCCAGAGCACAATGTACTACCATATCAGTATATCTGAATAAAATGACTGTAGTTAGCTAGGTGCAGAAGTGTGGCGTTCTGCTCCATCTGATCATACTGCTTCCTAGCAGGGCTCAATCAGGGAGAACCATGCTTAATGTGGCATTCTACTTCCCAGCCACATTATCCCTGTTTCTGGATAAAATGTCAGGTGGAATTAAACCAGCTGAAAGTGATGGGATTTAATTCTTTACTAATATTTACTTCCATTTCTTGCACAGTTGAGCAACACTTTGCAAATGGAAGTTTTTTTGAATGCTCTGTAACTGTGTTATTGCAATTATTACACCAATTGCAAAGATTTTTCTGGTACATAAAACAGGAAAAATTGTTTTGTGTGAAAACACCCAATTTCTGATAGAAAGTAATTTTATGACAGGTAATTTGTTTCCCTCTGTACTTATGCAAATTGCTTGCAGAAAAGCCATTTGTTCTGACATAAAATATGCATTTCCCATGAGTCACATATTTGTTGGTTGTGCTGGTATGCTTACTGCCAGTTCCTCAGCTGGCTGATATGCATGTTCCCTGTGGTTTGCTGTGGTTTTTTGTAGATTGCATGGGAGTTTGACCATGGAAGAGTTCTTTGAAGCTCTGGGTTTGCTGCCATGGACAGGTTGAGGAATGTGAGCTCCATTAGCCCATATCCCAGTCCTTGCAGAGTCCTTGTAGCAGTGCCCATCAACAGAGATAGGCTGCTCGGGACTTGAGAAAGGAAACTCTGTGAGGCTTCCTGCTTCCATGGTCTCAAAGATGGGCTTTGCTCATCTCAGCAATTCTGACTTAATGTTTTCTGCCATCCTTCCAACACAGAAATGACTGTAAGGAGGAAGAGCATGGATAGTTAATACTTGAAGCATCAAAGCTTTAGTAGCTTGGTCCAGCTTTCTGTGCTGTAGCCTCATGTGTTCAACAAACCCTTGGCAGGAATAAATCTAGTGATGACAAATTTTATGGCTCCTGCTGTGGGTCTCTAATGGAGAAAAATATAAACACAGCAAAGTATGAAATTCCAGAAGCAGGCTAAAACTGACTGGTTTATTCCAGTTTATTGGTATGTGATTTGCTCCTTCTCGGCATACTGAATCATTAACTGATATTAGTAATGTTATCAAAGCAAGTTATTGCAAACACAAAATAAGAAAATAATGCAATTCTGCCTTAACTCAGGAAGAATTACTTTGGCTGTGCCAACAAATAATTAGTCACTAGAGTTTCCACAACCTTTTACTTACAGTGATTCACACAATTCCTACAAGTGTGTCGTTTAGTACAGACAGTTGTATTAACTGTCAGAGATCTGTTTTAATACCATTTTGCTTCGTGCTCGAGATGGAAGATGGGTGTTTATTTTCTAATGAAGTACAGTACAACAATCTGTAAAGCTGCCTGCTGGGTTTCTGTGAACTGTTTGCTTCACAGATTTATTCCAGATGGTACCCCCTAGAGCCATGTTAATTGGCTAAAAAGTTAATGTAATGTTTCTTCAACTTAATACCTGAGCTGCTGCCTGCACCAGCTCCTGTGACTTTTGACATATTGCAGCTATTAGCAATTACATGGGAAGGTTAAAAGGGAAGTATAAATGAGGTAAGCAAACCTTTTTCTCCTTCCCACAAAGGCCAGAGGAGCCGAGAAGATTCTGCAGTCAGTCATTCCATGTATCTATCTATCTGTCTGTCTCCCTGAGTTTCATCTTAAAGGGGAGCAGAGAATACAGCCCCGAATCACTGCCTCTTAAATGCTCTCTCAGAAAAAATACAACGGAGTTCAATATGTCTGCAATAGCTCTAAGTAAATAATTGTTTAGGAAAGAAGTATTAGCTGAGGGCTTCTGAGGGTCAGCAGTGGTTAATGGGCTCATATGGACTGCAGAAAATCCCAAGCCCTGCTCTCTGGGCCAGCACAAAGCTGCCACCCTGCGTCACGCTGCACCCAGCCAGGGCTTCATTTCTAGCATCTGAACAAGCACTGCTGGATTCCTAGGCACCTTCTGCTTATCAGGGAGCCTGTCGGGGGAAATGCACTCAATATTTGAGTTTTATGTTTAAAATGAAAGTCTTTCCGATATATGAGTATATGAATTGTTACTACATCAGTAATGAATTTGGTTAGGTTTGCTTTCAGGAATAATAAGCCTAACCAGATGGAGAGAGAGCATCAGATAAAACTCCTTGTACCTACAATTGTAATTATGCTTTAGCCTCATCTGTGCACATAACTTCTGACGTTCAAACTGCAGTAGTGATATATCCCAGACAGACAGTAGAAGAAAATCTACTTCAACATCAAAAAAAAGCCACAAGCAGCTGAAGAATCCAACTAACACAGCAAGAAAATAATCTTTGGCGTATTGCTGATCTCCTGCAAGTACATTTCCTGGCACTTTATCAAATGGTAAACACAAGGGAAGTAAAACTTAGGCTGGGAAGGCAAAATCAAATCTTTTGGGGAAGGCAGCCAAGAAGAAAAATAACTGGAATCAGAGGGCATTCACTCTCATGACCAAACTTTCTGTATTTTAAGATCATTTTCAGCTAAAGCTATGCAAATAGCTTGTTCACTTCTCTTTGTTTGCTGTCTGTTCAAGATAATGTGAGATGACCCATAGAGAGTTGGCAAATCAGAAGTCCAGATAGTCTTGTATCAGATTAGATGTTTCATTTGACCTGGCATTTACACATTTTTACTTTGAGTGTTTTAGAACTTCTGGCTTAAAGTAAAAAGCTGTAGAAAAGAATATCATTTTCATTTGAAGTGGCAAAGAATTCCATTTTTTCCATGACTTTCATGTTTAATCAAGACAGAGGAATCATAAAACTCATGAATTTCTGTAGAATTGGTTTAATCAAATCTGTTTTGTCTTTTTCTTTGAAAAGGACTGGGATGGAAAACTACAAAAACTACAGTTCTACAAAATAAGGGCATCTGAAAATGTGCTCTGGGAACATGTTCTTCAGTCAGTAATAACTGCCGGAAACATAAAAGCAGATAGTGTACAGTAGGTGAAACTAGCTTCTGTGCTTACTGTGGTCACATAGATCCAAAAAGAAAGTCTAATGAGTGCTTCTAGCAATTAAGCTCTTCCTAAAATTTTTCTCTTCTTATATTACCCCATAAATGAAATGTAGAAAGAGGATGATTAAAAAACATAGCATATAGCTGCTCTGTAGCAGGCAAGTGTGTATTCAGTTATCTTTGGTCTAGGAGAGGGAATCCATCCACCAGAATATAATCATATAAATGATAGCTACAAAATTTTAAGGCTAGGCAGAACAGATTTTTAAAAAATGGTGGGTAGTGTTCATTTGGATCAGTTGTCCCACGACTTGAATCTTCTTGTGACAGTGGAACAAAGACCATGAGACATGAAGAGAGAATAGAAGAGATGATACTGTCAGCATTCCAAACCAATCAACAAATCTTTAAAACTAATATACACACACTGTAGGTAAGGTAAGAAAGTAGAATAAAAATGATTTCATAACAAAGAAACACATCACATAGAAACTAAGAAGGTATCTGAAAAATCTGTTCTCAGCAGTGCTTAGGGTACACTGTAGATTTCTTATATATTCCTGTTCCTATGTAAGTGTCACTTAGCTTATCCTGTCCATTACGTTATATAGCTATGTGCATAAAGTCAGTAGAAAAGATGCTGGTACTAATAACAATCACTTTCTGACTCCTTTTGTTTCCTAGTACAGAGGACTAACATTGCTTCAAAGGCAGAGAATGCACTCCTAAGAAAGGACTGCCATTATTGCAGAAAGGGCCTTCTAGCCAGCCATTCAAGGAGACACTTTCCCTAGGAGAACGCTCACAACTTGAGAATATGGAGATTGAGTGGAAAATGGGGAAGGATTAGAAGTTACTGATGAGGTGTCATGATTCAGATTAACAGGAGTATAATTCTTTGAGGAGAGAGAAGCACATCTCAGTTTAAACGGATCAACACAATTGTGCTAAAGAACCAAACCAACTGTCTAGCATTCCCTATAAGGACAACCAAGCATCATTCCTTGCACAGCCACTCTTCCATAGCATGTCTTCCTCGTATTTTTATCATTTAAGTGATAGTAGTATGACAGACTACTTATAGGTCATAAGTGTAGCATTTTGCAT